AGGCTGAGCGTACCCTTAAGTTAGGGCGGTTCAGTCTTATGCTCGTGATAATATGAAAGAGCAGAGAGTTAATATAAATCTTCTTTTATTTTCTCTTTTAAACACCAGGCAGGGTTGGATGTCTCCCTAAGTTGGGTAGGTCTGATCATCTGCCAAATAAGAGAGAAAAATATAAAGTTTGTGCAAGTATATCAATGGTTGTTCTCTTATATTGTCGTTGCGGAGACTAAGCGTACCCTTAAGTTAGGGCGGCCTAGTGATATGCTCTTGTCGTTGATATTATGTAGGTTGGACGTACCCTTAAGTTAGGGCGGTCTGACCATTCGTCGTTCGTACTTGTTTTGGCAGGTTAGGCACACCCTTAAGTTAGGGCAGCCTAATCCTATGCCCTATGTAACTTTGTCTAAAGCTGACAAGGCATACCCTTAAGTTAGGGCAGTCTAGTTTTATGCTTCATGTCGTCAGTTAAGCAGAAGCACGTACCCTTAAGTTAGGGCGGTCTGGTCATATGCTTTATGACTAGAGTTCATGTGGTGTTGGGCATACCCTTGAGTTAGGGCAGTCTAGTTGTGTGTACCTTTACTTGTTTACTTAGGCAGGTTGGACATACCCTTAAGTTAGGGCATTGTCTGATCATATGCCATAGGCAAGGGGGTCTACTAAGGGAAAACAAATTGAGTGATCTAACGAACTACTTGGGTCAAACTGATGTAGGATTGTGAGAGATGTTTGTTTATGCATGCTTGTGGGCTCTCACTCTGGGGCGTCTTTTTCGATAGGTTAGTTGCTTAGACGCTCGCCAAGTGTTGGAGCCATAGGTAGATGAGATGGATGGTGGGAGGGAGAACTTGGGATAAAGATAGGACTAACCCTGCTAGGAGTTAGGATCAGGGCTAGCTCACAATCTCATCTAGAGGTTGTGTGGGTTGTCATTGATTCTGAATCATCAAGCAGGTGTCAGAAGATAGTCCAAAGTATAGCTTGCTTTGTCTTTCTGTCTTTCAACTTTGTATAAATCTTCACAGCCTCCTGTTCCTACGGGAAGCGCTGCCGAAATTTCTGCAAATCTGAAAGAGTTAGTCATTTTTTGGGCTCGGAAAAATTCTGAAAAGGCACTTTTCTTACGAGAAGCGCTGCCGAAATTTCGCAGAATTTTGGGAGTTAGACTATTTTTAGCTACGAGCTACCTGGAAGATCCATCCAGAATAGAAGAGGGGCACAATGACCTGGTACTAGTAAGGGGAGCTGACGATGAGAATAGTAGAGGAGTTAGGATTACGACTTTGAGAGTATTCTCCTTTTTCGGCATGAACATAGTAGTGGTTCTTTTGGCCTGTACTGTGTTGCAGGTTTCCGTATTTCACTTGACAGCTTGATCTGATCAGCCTGAACTTTCAAAAGGATCACTCTTCCGTTATCACTGATAACAGGTTCACGACTCAAGTCTCCTGTTCCTTCTGCCTCTCAACCCAAGGCCTTGGCCCTTGCTGGGTTGTATGTTTTCTTGGGTTTTCACCCAGATTCTTTAAAAATGGCCATTTCTTAAAGACTGAGTATTTTTGTTGAGGAATGGTGGGGAAATGGTTGGGCTTGTGTGCATAAGGCAGGGTGTGAGCTGCAGAAGGCTGAAAAGTTGAACCCTCTAGTGTGTGTGATGTTGTTTGAATGTTGTGCGTATGATTGCAGGTATGTACGGGAGAGTCTCGATTAAGTATTTGGTGAATGATTATGTTTGGGATTCAGATGGGCAAACCACACAACTGTCGTGAGAGTGAATCACCCCACAACCTTTTGTTTGAGTGAGATTGTTCTTTCCCCATCCTGATAATGTGATAGTCAAAGTAAGCGTACGCTCGGGTAACCCTCGTAAGGCTATGCGAGCGCACGCCTGCGTTTTTCCTTACTCAATGATGTTAGTTAGTCGGACGTTAGTCCCAGGCCTGGAATTCAAGGTCCTTGTCCAGGACGTCTCAGGCAGGGTTGTCAAGCCCCAGCCCCGGGGCCCCGGCGGGGGTCCGGGGGTGGGCACCCCCAGCCCCGGCTCCAGACCCCCCCCCCAAAAAAAAAATAAAAAATAGTGGGGGGTGCGCAGCGAGAGCGCGCACCA